AAAAAAAAGAAAACCTCTAAGTCCTCTTTCTTTTCCCTTTTTCTCCCACTTCCTTTTTCCAAAAACCTTAAAAAACCCCCCCCCCAAATGAAGGAAGCTGTTTAAAAACCTTCCTGGAACCCCTCATCGCCCCCCATAATAGGGTTCCCCACCACTTCCCCGGGCCCCCCTTCCCGGAAGCCCCCCATCCTCCAAATAGTTCCCTTTTAACCGCCCCGGCGCGCCCTTCCCACCACTGCTGCCCTTGCTCCTCCCGGCCGTCGCCTCCAAACCCCTCAGGTTCGCCCCGTCCATCGCAAGCATTTATCCGACCCGCTCAAATTCGTCCGGGCCCCCCTTCCGCGGCGCGGGCGTGTATTTTGTTATGCCGTGCCGCCGCAGCGTGGCCTTGGGGGGGGCATCGGTTCCCGCGTGTAGGTGTTAGCCGCTTGTCCCGGCGGATTCGTTTTTTTTGGGTTTTGCGTCCAGGGGGGAGGTGGGCGGGAGGGAGGCGGTGAGGTGTCGGAAGATGGCCTCGGCCATGGGGGAGCGGCCTGTGTGGGGGGTGGTGACGGGGTTAGTTGGTTGGGTGGGCAAAAAGGGAGAGGAAGTTGGGGAAGGGGGGGTTAGATCCGTACAGATGTTTCCGAGGCAGACGAAGAGGACAGAGATGGGTTTGGTGGGGGTGTTGGAGGCTGTTGAAGGGCCGAGATCTTGGGTCATTTTGGGGGGGGGGGGGGGGGGATGGATTGTGTGATTTCGAGGTTTCGCTGGTTGTCTTTGAAGGTTGTAGATTTAGAGGCCGTGTCGGTGTTGAGGAAAGAAAGTTGGAGGGTTCCGAAAAATATACATTCTGTCCATACGAGACTCTCACAACCCTGAACTTTACAAAGAACCTAAATATGGGATATTTATTTATAAGATCCGACAACTGCCAGAAAAATGAAATAAAGCAACATAAAACAAACGAAGTATCCTTTCAACCGTCCATCTGAAATCTCAATGTCACGAGAGTTGCAAATTTGATTACTCTCTTTCCCTTACCAGTTTTATCAGCATCAGTCCGTACCGACTAAATGCTTGAAAGCAAGGCCATCTTAAACGCATCTACTCAAAAACTTCTTACTCCCCCTTCTCACCATATGACAAATACATATCCCTCCATATCCTTCATGCAAAATACAACATCCAACATCCTCCTACCCTCCTGTCCACCCCGAAACCCAAACCAGCGCTCTCCTGACCTACAAACCCCCCCCCCTCCTCCTCCTCCTCCTAAAACCGTAGCCAGAGTTTGGGGGGGATTCTGTCGTAAATGGTTTCCCAGATCAGCAACTGTTCCCGCGCTGAATTCCGCCAGACCTGATCACGAACTTCCGAGAGCCAACCCATGGAGGCAGAGGCACGGCACTCTCTCGACCTCCGTCTTTTCGTAATATTGCATAATTCTGAAATAATATCAGTCATTCACATGGTCCTCAACGGCGAGACGCTCATAACGCTCATGATCCAATTCACTGCGGATTGATCGGCCTGCCGACCGCGGAGCAACTTCCAGTGTATGTGGAATCAACCTGTCGGTGTAGGGGAGGCCAAACCCGTATTTTCCCGTTCCCGTAAGTCCACATTAGGTGGCATTACATAATGGCTAGTCCAACTGTCTTTGTCGCATGATTCGAGTTCGACAAGGCGGACACGCATAGGGTCGGTCCTCTACGTGATATGACGCTCGCTGTCTTGGCTATGGCCAGAACAAACCATAAGCTAGGGAGGGTTTTCAGAGAGGCAGCAAGTGATTATGGACTAGCGATGGATGGGTGTCCATCTCAAAGTGATTGAAAACGTATATGCATTTATTCCGTCCCCCCAAAATGAGAATCCCGGTTGACGTTTTGTCAATATTCTGTACGGCACGCACGGACGGTTGTTAGTGCTTCACGAGGGCAAAGTGAAAACATTATCCGTGGAAAGTTCTTGTAGAGTTCGCACAGCGACGCATCGTTGCCATCCATCAACATGGTTAACCATCCATTCTTCTCGAGAACTAGCTGCTCATTGAAACCCAAGACGTAGCAAGGGTATAGTAGAACGGTGCAGCTGATGCAGCATTAACCCGAAGCAACCATGTTGTTGTATATATTCCGCTGTTGTGGAGTGGTAAAAAGCAACCAGAGCCGAACGCGGGGGTCGAACCCGCAACCTTGCGGTCACATGACACCGCCGTCTTACCCGAGATACGGGGGATCTAAGAGCCGCACGCTCTACCGATTGAGCTAACCCGGCCTCCTACGCCCGCTGCGAATCGGGATGTTAATATAGAAGCCTCGGGGATTGTTTGGGGGGGGGGCCGGAGGAGTTGGTGCTCTCTTGTGTTCTACAATCAGAAAGAGAATGTCGCTGGGTTAGACTACTCCGTCCGTGAAACTAAATGCTCAGCAAGCTCAGCAAGCTCAGCAATGGACCGTCGTATCGTAGACAGCCCCCCAAGCCTCCTGAACTACATCCTCAGCTTCCTCCTCGTGGGCGTCGCGTGGGGTTTCACCACCCCCTTCATCCGCCGTGCCGCCGTCGATTTCAATGCGCGGAATCAGCGCAGGGCACCACCGCAGCAAGAAGGAACCGAGGATGCTTCCGGCTCCAGCTGTTACTGGCCGCAGCGGAGTCTCATACCGTTGCTGCAGACTGTGGCGGATCTTCTGCGGACGCCCGGCTACTCCGTCCCGTTGCTGTTGAACGTAACGGGGAGCGTGTGGTTTTTTCTGCTGGTTGGGAAACACGGTATGCACGTAACTATATGATGGCATGACTTTTTGCGTCTTCTCTTGTCTTCTTCAGTCATCCCCTTGTGATGTTCTCGAACTCTCACATTCCTGGGACTTGGATTCCTTTTCCCACGGAAAATTCCTCCCGCCTCCCCAGTGTAAATCACCCCC